TCACACTCTTATAAGGAATGTTTTGTTTTCCTCTCTAATAGATGCGGGATCTCACAACTATCCGCCATGAAAATGATCAAGGACTTTTCAATTCTAGGCTAAAAGACGACCGTATTATTGCACATCCTAAATAAACTATGGAAGGAAAGTGCCATCAACCTTCAAAAATGGAGATCCTAATCGAGAATCGAACTATCGACATTTAAGATAGTAATTGTAGTCTAGACCCTATGTTCACGGTTGCTATTTTTGCAAATTATAGGGACGTTTTAGCAATTTTATTTATTTATTTATTTATCTTGAAAATCGTCTTTTCCCCTTTAAAAGCAATGGTTCTAAAAAAAAGATAAAAAAAATTATTTGATTTCTTGGATCCTTTTGAAAAGTGTTATATTATGGAACTGTTTTGAATCTTTCTCGTTATTCTCAATCACTAGAAGATCAATCCAAATTGTGCTTTATAATTAAGTAAACAATCAACTTTATATTAAATAATTAAACGTCGGAATTTCTCGTAATTTTTTTACGATATATATGAAAATGACCAAAATATCCTCGTACTATCTTCACTTCTTCATAGTTGCTGTCGTTCATCGCCAACAAACACTACCACCTCATCGCTCATCCTAATGTCTTATATACAAATTTGAAATTTGAGTACGGATAAAACATTACGAAAGTATCGAAACCAACTCAAATCAGGTAGTTCACGAGAACTAAGAACACTCAAATTTTAGTTTCATTTCAATCAACACATCTAAAACAACGAGTGTTTATGTAAAACGACAGGCTTATTTTTTCTAAGACACTATAACAACCTTAAATACATCTAAAACAACAGGCTTGTTCTTTCCAACACACTTTAACAACCTTAACAGAGCTGAATCCTTCAAATATTCAGCTTTAGTAATGCCTTCTCCAATTGGCTCCATTTCTGCTCTAGGGTTCCAACATATGCAACAGACATCCTAATCAATCCCGGAGAAATGCCCGCCAGCTCCTTCTCCTCGACGTTCATCTCGCTACTCGTGCTACTACCTATCGAAAATACAAACAAATAATTAAAACATGAACTCGTTAGGTTAGACTTTTGAGTTGATTGAATTGACTTGACTCTACCTGAGCACGATATGAGAGTCTCGAAGTAGCCCAAGCTTACGGCTAAAAAACCGAAATGAGTATGGTTTTGAAGGAGATTCATGAGTCTATTGGCTCGCTCTTCGGTCCCCATGTCGATGCATAGAACTCCGCCGTAGCCGTAGTCTTTGTTGGCTATGGAGCTTAGAAGATGGTGGTCAGGGTGATCTTTGAGGCCAGGGTATATGACTTTGAGGCCAAGATTCTTCATTCTTTGAGCAAAAACTAAAGTCCTGTGGGAGTGCTCTTTCATTCGGAGGGCTAAATGGGGGACTCTTTGAGAGAGTTCTGATGCAACTTTGGCGTTCATTGTTGGCCCAAGAAGCATTAGGGTGCCTTGGTGAAGGTCCATCATGGAATTCACTAATTTTTTCTTCCCACAAACCGCACCTACAAAAAACGACGTTGGATCTCACAATTATGATTAGGTAAATTAAAATTTTTGAAATCATGTTTAGTGACTAAATAACATGTATTATACCGGCAATTATGTCGGCTCCGCCACTGATGAACTTGGAGCAGCTATGAACCACGACGTCAGCACCGAGCCTCGTCGGTGAGATTATCATTGGCGAGAATGTATTATCGACCACCACTGTCACTCCCTTCTCATGCGCCATCCGACTGAGCTCGGGGATGTTTGCCACGGTTAGTGTTGGGTTCGCCACCGTCTCGAAATACAACACCTAGATTTAGAATAAAAATAAAAGATTAAATTTACCGTAATCTAATTACTTATGACTTTGGGTTAATTTAACATGTTATGAGAGTTAGAACTTGTGTTTAAACTCATATAGTATCGTTTTTTTCCCTCATTAATAGACGTAAAATAATCTATCAATAATAAATATTTATGAGCACAGCCTCTCTCTTTCTGTGAAATCCTTATTTATAAGGGTGTGAAAATTTTTGAGGAGAAGCCGTAAAGGAAAAACTCAAAGAGGACAATATCTGCTAGCGGTAGGTTTGGGCTGTTACAAATAGTATCAGAGTCAGACACCGGGCGATGTGCTAGTAAGGAGGCTGAGACTCGAAGGGGGTGGACACGAGGTGGAGTGACAACAAGGACGTTGGGGCCTGAAGAGGGGTGCATTGGGCGGTCCCACATTGATTGACGGGAACAAGTGTCGATGCTGGATCCTGGGTGTGGAAACCTCTCCAAAGTAGAAGCTTTTTAAAAACGTCGATGAAAAGTCGAAATAGGACAATATTTATTGGGCTAGGACAGAAATTGATTTATTTGTGTAAAATATTAATTATTTTTATCATTAATTACAATTTTCTTAGAAATTAAAAAAAAAAAAAAATCAAATTGGTTCAAGGTGTACCTTCGTCTTGCCCTTCACCATGGCATCTCTAACCATGGCATGGTCCTTCACATCCACAAACGACGTCGTAATGTTGCAGACCCTCGGCAGGAAATGGGAGAGCAACGCGTGAGTGCCGCCATAGAGCGTCCTGGAGGCGACAATATGGCCACCGGAGCTGAGAAGCTGGAGCAAAACAGATGAAACAGCCGCCATCCCACTGGACGTGCAATACGCCGCCTCAGTCCCTTCAAGCGCCGCCATCTGTCGGCCGAGGGCCATGACGGTCGGGTTGAAATGGCGGCTGTAGATGAAGCAGTCTTGTTCCGGTCCCAACTCTCCTTCGAACATCTTACGCATAGTTTCCGCCTCCATCACCGTGAACGATATCGAGTTTTCGATTGATAGGTTCACACCCCCATGCTCTCCGAACTCCGGCCGGACCGCTGCCAGAGAAGCAGCTGGATCCTCCTCCTCCTCCGGCCGCCATGTCACGGGCAGTGGCGGCAGCCGAGCTGTGGGCTTCAACTTCTTGTTCTTGACGTCCCACAACATTTTTACTTCAGCCATGGACATCTCAATTAGAATGAAGGGTTTTGAATTTGAGATTGAGATATGGAGGGCAAGTTTTGTAGGGGTATTTATAGGGGAGAGGAGATTGTTAATTAGTTTAATTAACTCAATAATTAAATTAATTGTTGATTAGGGAAAGCTTCTCTTGTTCAATTTTGACCATGACCATGTTTAGATGCCTTATTAATATATATATATATATATATATATATATATATAATGGGGTGGGAGGAGATTTCTACTGCTACAAAGATAAATATCTTTGCTATAGTAAATTAAATTTACTCATAGTTAAAAATATCTATTATTAATAGTAAATTAAATTTATTAAAGACCTCTCACTTGCAGTGGGGTTTGAAAAAAAAAATTATATTTGAAATTTAGATAGATGTAGGTTATTAAATTTTAACCAAATTTAATAATAATTAATTGAATTAATTGAATTCATTAAACAAACTAATTAGATACACATTATTAATTATGAAAATAAACTATTGATATTTTATTTATTTAAGATGTCACATTTAAAAATAATTTATAAAATTTGATTAGTTTTATGTTTAATAGATTTAATAAATTAAAAAGGATGGAGGTGGAAAGGATGCTTAAGATTATTAAATCTATTGATATTTATTTGATATTTTTAATTGTATTTGGGATGATCGGTCACTTACGTGTAAGGCAGGACTATTGGGACAATAATGAAATTCTTTGGAGCGTTAATGATGCAACTAGTTCGTTTAATCCGCAACGGTCCAAGCTTCCACATTTATAAACAACAAAATGTAGCTCAACTATATAATTACTCATAAACCCGATGCTAACTTAATTGTTCGAGCTTTAATTTTTGCTCGAGTCACCCATATCCTAATTTTCGTCGAACATTCTAACATATTTGTATGTTAAGGGTAATTTTTAAAACATTAAATTTATAATTTAATCAAATTAAAAAATACTATAAACAAATCTATATACTTAACCAAATAAAAAACATAGATAATTAAGAGTTTATAAGTTATGTCATTTATTTTATAAAAGTATAATGTGAACCATTTGTAAGAGACTTATAATATTATGGCAAGTTGGTGTCAATGCATGTGGGATGAACAGTCTTTGGATATTAGGTGAGTTTGGTGAGTGCCAATCCTTGCTACACGTAATATTTTAGTGCATACTCAACTCTTAAAGGTCCAAATTCATTGTACTTAAGTTCTAATAGCAAGAAGGTTGTCTCATCAATCTATTCTCAAGTTGAAACAAAAATTCTCGAATGTTGCATTTTAGTAAGGTCCTGGAGTAGTTTCTCTTTATCTCAAATCTTTATTAAGATTTTTTCAATCGAGACTCGTGTTATAATAGTCCAAACTCACCACTAGTAGATAATGTTTGCCTTAGTCTGTTACGTATTGCCATCAGCCTCACGTTTTTTAAAAAATATTTGTTGGGAGAGGTTTTCACACCCTTATAAGATATATTTCGTTCCTCTCTCTAATCGAGGCGGGATCTCACAATCCACACCCTTATTAGATATGCTTCGTTCCCCTCTCCAATTGTAACGCCCCTAATTTTCTTATACCATATGTAACAATCCAAATCTACCACTATTAGATATTATTCATTTAACCTGTTACGTATCATTAAAAAAAGTGAAAAAATTATATTGCAAATTAACCCAATAAAAAATTATATTAAAGAATGAGTCCACACTACCAAAAACATAAAATATTATGAATATTGCAAATTAACCCAAAAAAAAAAAAAACAAAATATCGCTTTAATTTTCAATTTATTCTTTTAATTTGTCGTATAATATCGAGTTTATATTTTTCAATTTAATTAATATGAATATTTTCGATAGTTAAAATATTTTATACCTTATTATAAGGTTAGAAAAATTATTAAGTATACACGAAACAATTCATTATTATTTTAAACTCAAACTTTATGAACAAAACTATGCTTTTAAGTCGAGTTATGAAGTAAATTGAAACGTTATATCGTAATTAACCTTAATTAAATAAAATTAAACCAAACTTATTTAGTAATAAAAAACAGCAACAAAAGAAATGCAACGAAAAATCAATCCTCAACATTCTCCAAATACTTGTTCTTCTCTTCATCCACCATGAACGCAGTAACAGGATACGATTTTCCAATCCCCATTGGAGTTTTAAAGCAAATCTTCTTCCCCTTAGGATCATCAATACTCATCTCCGAAATCGGAACCCACAAAAGTAGTTGCTTCGTCTTCACCCCCGTCATCTTCTTCATCTTCAACTTTTCCACGTACGCAGTCACCTCCGTCGCGTATGCAACTCTCGAGTTCGTCGTCTCGAAGAAATGCTCATAGGGCTTCTTTTGTTTCATCCAAATGAACCCCGTCTCCTTCACAATCCCACATTCCTCGAGCTCTTGCAACGGCATCACGCCACTCGGGAACCCTAGTTCCTTTAACAGCTCCACTGATTTTCGGTAGCATTCTTCGGGTCCGTAGGCAATTTCTGCTCCGGCTCGCTCGTCTTGTCGGGGATTGACCATCGCCATTGATGAAGGTTGAGAATTAATGAGAAGGGTTCGCCAGGTTTAGGGTTTTATATGTGTGTGGGGTGGTTGGGTGGGTGGAGGTTGAGCTAAAATGCTTCTTTCTTTCTTCAAGGAGTTGTTGAACTACAAATTGGTGTTTTTTTTTTTTTTTTTTTTTAAGTATTTAGGTTAAATGTTTACCTAATTAAACCAATAATTATTGTATTTATCGGGATTGTTCGACAAATTAAAATTAAAGGGTCAAAAAATTCGATAACTTGAATTTTTTTATAAATTCAACCCAGGGTTGGGTTATAATTTATTATATTAATACAATTAATTGTTCAATAATAATTATTTAATAATAACCCATTTATTTATTTAAAATTATACTTGCATTCATTTTTATTGACAAAAAAAAAAAAAAAAATTATTAAATTACTTTAATTAAGTATTTGGTGATTTTATTAATCAACAAATTTATAATATATTAATTATAATGAATTGATTTGGAATAAATTTTATTTTTCAATAATCATCACTAAATAGTTTTTTATTTGAATTTTCCTTTTTACTTTTATTTTTTATGATCGCTCGAAAAGAAGAAAAAATACAGGAAAGAATCGAGACCTTATCATAAAAGTGATCGTTAAAAAATACGTGAAAAAAAATGAAAGAATGTCTATTGGTATGAGTCCTATGTGAACTCATACCATTGTAGAGGTTCGTACTTTGTTCGAGGGCTTTAAACATAGGGTCCACCTCGATCAAGGAAGTTATATGCAACACACTTGGGGTTGGGGGCTCACGGTTAAGGTTTGATCAAACATCCAAAATCAACGGCTTACAAAATGTAGTTACACAAGAAACAGTACACCGGAAAGCAGCAGAATTTGGCGCGTCAAAATTTGTCCGTTTGTCCATGTCAGCAGCATCGAACCCGTGTGCTCGCACCCCTTGGTTGAACCCCAAACCAGCGGAATTTTTCTCGCCGCCTCCCCTGTTTTCCCTCCGTTCCTTATAATCTCTCAAATTTTGGCTTCATTCTTACAATCGAATCAAACTTCAACTCATTACAATCTCGAAATTTCAATGTGCAGGTCGACGGATTACCGGAGTCTCGGCGGCGATCGCCTCAAAATCAAGGCATTCTTTGTTCGATTTTCGCATCTGGAAGCCCTAGATCCACCACCGGAGTCGCTCACTCTGTTCTTCCTCCCTCGCATTGACGAGGCCAGCCTCGAAATCGATGGGCTTAAGATCCGGCCGGACTCGCCAGCGTTTGTCTCTCTTCATCGAGTCCTCTTGCCGTCCTCGAGGATGAGGAAGGATGTGGTGTTCGGGAGTAGAGAGCGAGTTCGAGCGAGCGAAGGCGCGCAGTTCGTGGTGTGCTTGAGGGAGAAGAAGGTCGTGCAAGGTGTTTTCAGGAAGAGCGACGACGGAGAGTGGAGAATGGACTGTAAATGCGCGCTTGAATCTAGTATCGCCGGAGCGGCGGGCGCGAGGGCGGAGGTTTGCGTGGATCTGGAAGGAGAGGTGGCGATGTTTGAGAAGGTGGTTCTGGAAGTGAGAAGGAGGAAGAAGAGAGGGTTCTGTGGACTGGAGGAGATTCCGGAGGGACGAGAAGTGGACGGTGATTGCGATGGATGTGGTTGTTGTTGTGGAGAGGACGGCGACGAAGACGGCGGAGAGAAAAGGGTGGAGATGGACGTAGAGGGGGACCAATGGGCCGTGGATTTGGGGATTTGGGCCGTGTGTTTCGGAGTTGGATCGTTGGTCTTGTGGGCCGCTCATTCCAAAACACTGAGACGCAAACGAATTTTTTGAAGCATTCACAAATTTTCGTTTTTTTTTTAATTAAGTTAAATAATTATAGAAAATGCCACTCAATTTTGTATATTTTATGTAAATATCTCAACAATGCTCTTAAAATAATAAAAATAAATACGTTTACCTTACAAATAATTAATTAATTTTTTTTTAAGTAATCTTATATTAATCTTTGAAAAAAAATAAAATAACATCCACTTTCAGTATTTTTAGATTTTTTCTTTCGGATTTTTCCTCAAAATGTTTCCACACCCTTACGAGATCTCACAATTCACCCCTCCTCCCTCGAGGCCCAACATCTTTGCTAGCACTCGTTCTCTTCTCCAATCGATGTGGGACCTCCCAATCCACTCCCTTTCGGGGCCTAACGTCCTTGCTGGGACATTGCCTCATGTCCACCCCTTTCGGGGCTCAACCTCCTTGCTGGCACATCGCTCGGTGTCTGGCTCTGATACCAACTATAACAACCCAAGCCCACCAGTAGTAAATATTTTCCTATTTGGACTTTTTCTTTCAGGCTTCCACTCAAAATTTTAAAAACGCGTCTGTTTAGGTAAAAAAATTTCACAAAAAGACGCTTACCGTCTCATTTCAATTTTGAAACAGTTTTCACAGAAACAAGACCTATTTTGCAGTAGTTTAATCAATTTTGTAGCTTAAACAAGCCTATTTTGTGGTACTCCCATGAATGCGAGAACAGCATCCAATACACCAGAGAGAGAGAGAGAGCATAGTTATGTCTTAGCCACCATTCTGGATTATCTGTACACTACAAACCCAGAACAAAACGCCCCATAGTCATCCAAGTGATGTAGTTTACAGCGGTGGCCGGAGGCATAAACAGCCAGTGGCCCCAATCAGAACAGCCATGTTCATAACTTTGATCCACTCATGCTGTGGAAACGCCTTGATGGCTATAACCATTACTAAGCCACAAGAAAGAACCAATTTACAGATGAATGGTATTGGAGGTCTCCGAAAATCCCATATTTATTGTTCGTTATATCATCTATATGTCACGTCATATCAAATCAACCAATATTTATTAATTTATGTATTATCGACATAAAAATTTTTAAAGTTCAAAGATAAAACGAAATAAATACTAATACGGTTCGGAGACTAAATTATGGTTCCAACCCTCAATAACAGGATGATAGCAGAAAGAGCAGCAATGGCAACGCCATAGTTAAACAAAAGTAGTATTAAAAACTTCCCTCATCTCTCGTGAGCAGCAGAATCAAGTTCAAAATTGGTTCATTCTTCTTTCTCGTGTAGATCATAACCTCTCCACCAGTTTCCAAGACACCATCCTGTGGATCAAATCATTTTCAAACCTTTAGTTAATGTTCTAAAATTCTGATACAAAGTTCATCATATGATTCATGTTTCGTTTTTATTCGAATTTCGGCATATCCCTGCTTAGGTTGCTTTTTCATGACCCTCATCTCTGTCTCTCCTTCTACCTGTTGAAGGCTCGAATTCCATCGATTCATGATCATTTATTCGGTCGATATTTCTACTACATTCATGAGTACATACATAGCTCAACAACAGTATGCAAAATTGGGATCTCTTAAGCGTGTTGTTGGTTCTTTTCGAATTGAATGTCGATAATCGGCATAGATTAAAAATGACGAGAGCCAGACGTTAGGACTTAAACGGACTTAGTTGGATATAGAATGCAAAGAATAGCAGTCAGTCAGTTTAGAGAAAAAAAAAATGAAAAGAAAAGTTACCATTCTGCAAGCAAGAGTTTGCCAAGAAAGAAAAGAGAATTTGCAAATCCAAAGGAAAAAGGAAGGCTTCAAAAAGCAGGAGCTTTCTTCTTTGACATCCACCTCTTCTTCGCACTCTCTATTGCTTCCTCTCTCATTCTTGACAGTTCACAAAGGCACTGATGGTACTGTAAGTCAATGGCATCAATCTCCATCTTCAGTTCATCTTGGTGATCTCTTTCTTCCAGAGAAAGACTCGAAAAGTTCGACGAACTCATTTCTTTCGACATTCCCGAGCAGGAGGAAATTAGAGATGGGTTTGCAAAATCGATCATCGTCGAAATCGATCCAACAGCATCGAAATCCATTGTTCCTTTTCCTGTGCTGTAATCTGAGATAGTTGAGTGATTGAAGTCAAGCGATGCACACGAAATGATCGACTGCAGGTTTTCTTGATCTTCCACCTTGGTGAAATGCATCGGGTTATTCCCTGCACCAGCCACCATGGGAGATGACAGTACCATCTCAGAGAAGAAAGGAGGAATGAAGGTCTTATCCTCTTGAGTTTCACTTTCAGAAGAACTGTGTGTAGTGTTTTGTCCGTGATAATAGTTTGGACATGGTTTCGAGTCGGGAACAAACTTGGCAATTAATTCATCGATTAATTTTGCTATGACAGTCGCGTCTTCATTCGACAGTTCGAGTTGTTCAACCATCTCCAAAGCAATAGCCAATGAAGTATCAGAGTCGAGATAGAAGGCAAAATGGATATTCTTAGACTTACCTATATGAAAAGAGATGTTCGAGTTATCATGAAGAATATAAACATATTCACTATAGAATAAACAACTTTAAGGAGATTAAGAAAGAATCGACTGAAAGTTACCGCATAATTCAGCAATGCGCAAATGGAACGAAATTGTATTATGATCAGTCATGTCCCCTTTCAGTGTCAATTCATTAGTCTCAGTGAGCCTCTGAAGTTCGAGAGTTGAAAACTGAGAAATGTCGTTATCGCTTTTGACAGATGAGACCACTGAGCCTGAGAATTTGCTGCAGTTATGGTCTGTGTCCATTGAATGAGAAGCTAGCCCAGGAGGATTTTCAGATTTGAACTGCTCATTCGATAACCTTAAAGGTTCAAAACTATGCTCCTTGGGACTTTCAGTTGCAAGGAATGGATCTTTCAAGAGTTCACTTGCAGGTAGTCTCATGGATGCTGGAACCAGACACTTCTCTATGAACTGCTTAACTTGGGGATCCAGCACCTTTTCGAGGGAAGCAGGCTTTATACCCTGCAAGAAAGAAGAAATGATTTCAGGACCTCCATTTGATAGTGTAACCACTCGAGCCCATTGCAAGTGGATATTGTTCTCTTTGGGATTTTCCTTTCGGGCTTCCCCTCAAGGTTTTTAAAACGCGTTTGCTAGGAAGAGGTTTCCACACCCATATAAGGAATGTTTCGTTCCCCTCTCCAACCGATGTGGGATCTCACAATCCACCCCCCTTGAGGACCCAGCGTCATCGTTGGCACACCATCCATTGTCTGGCTCTGATACCATTTGTAACAGTCCAAGCCCACCGCAAGCAGATATTGTCCTGTTTGAACTTTCCCTTTCAGGCTTTCCCTCAATGTTTTTAAAACGCGTATACTAGGGAGAGGTTTCCACACCCTTATAAGGAATATTTCGTTCTCCTCTCCAACCGATGTGGGATCTCACAATCCACCCCCCTTGAGGACCTAGCATCCTCGCTGGCACACCGTCCGGTGTCTAGCTCTGATTCCATTTGTAACAGCCCAAGCCACCTTAAACAAATATTGTCCTCTTTGGACTTTCCTTTTCAGGCTTCCCCTCAAGGTTTTTAAAACGCGTATGCTAGGAAGAGGTTTCCACACCTTTACAAGGAATGTTTCGTTCCTCTCTCCAATCAATGTGGATCTCACAATCCACCCCCCTTCAGGGCCCAACGTCCTCGTTGGCACACCGTTCGATGTCTGGCTCTGATACCATTTGTAACAACCCAAGCCCACCGAAAGCAAATATTGTTCTCTTTAGGCTTTCCCTCAAGGTTTTTAAAACGCATCTGCTAAGGAGAGGTTTCCACACCCTTATAAGGAATGCTTCATTTCCCTCTCCAACCGATGTGGGATCTCACATATAAAAACACTTAAAAGACATAATCTGGTAGAAGTAAATCATTTACTTACAGAAGTAACCTTCTTGAATATTTGGGCAGAATTTTTGCACTCACTATATGGGTATTCACAAGTCACAATTTCCAACATGCACATGCCAAAAGAATAGATATCAACAAGCTCATTATACTCCTCATCATAAAGTTCTGGAGCCATGAACTCTGGAGTGCCTGAATAATAATCACATCTCAAAGATCAGATGAATCCTAGAGTTCTATCCCCACAACAAAAAGAAATCGAGCTAGAAAACGAAATTATTACCAATTACACTTCGAGCAGTAGGCTGCTGCATGACAATCGCCAAACCGAGGTCTCCAATTTTAACATCTCCCGTATTTCCATTGACAAATATATTATCACATTTCAAATCCCTATGAATAATTGGAGGGTTGTGAGTATGTAAATACGTCAAACCTCGCAGTATCTGCCTCGCCCAATTCTTGAAGGCTTTCAAATCAACTTTCCTATGCTTCTTTCGATATCTAAATTGCAAAGAATACCATAATCGAATAAACTACTCGTTGAATGCAGTAAAATGATTCCAAAAACAAAAAGAAGACTACTCTTAGGAACTTACTGCCTCAAACTCCCAGAAGTGAACAATTCTGTAATCATGTTGATAGTCTTGTTCTTATCATCAACCCAATAGCAATAGAATTTGATTATATTTTCATGTTTCAGCGACTTCAGCAGATGAACCTCAGAATATAATCTTTGAAGCTGTTCTGGTGACTGCAAAACATCTTCAATGTCAACTTGGCTCCAAGCAACTTCGATTCCGCCGACTTCGTCAAATGCTCTGTATCTGATGACAACAAAAAGAGCCCTCAAGTCAAATAACACACCCAAAACATTCATTACACCCACAAAAATCATCTCACAATAATGAAGAAACTAGAAAAGAAAAGGTAATAAAAGAACAGAGATTGATAGACATCAGAAACATACACTGTCTTGAATGCCCCTTTACCCAAAATCTCATCGTACTGAAAAATAAAAGAAGTCTAAATGAGGATTAAATCATAAAGTCAAATAGAATAAAACATATGAACTACAAAAGGTAAAGAACACATCTGAAACATTAGTCGATCATGAACTATTGGCGATAAAACTACTAATCAACAATTACAAGTTTGGTAATTATGCACAAATTCAAAGCAATTCAAACCCTAAATTCAGATCATTCGTATATTAAAATTAAGTAAACAAAACAGTGAAGGAAACAATGTCAAAAATAGAAAATTGATATAAGGAATGGGGTTTTTCTAAAAAAGAACTGCTCTATCCCAGTCGCTAGGGCAATAATAATATCTAAACAAAATCGAAGATGAGAATTAAAAAGAAATACCCGTATGTATCGTCCTGTTGGATCCTTCTCTACAATCTCACGATCATCAGCCTCGGAGTTCCCAGACATCAAATCCGAACCGCAACTCATCGTAAAGCAGAAAGACGAAGAAAAAGAAACAGAAATCGAGAAAAAGAGAAGGCGATAAAATCCAGAACGCAAACAGCAGATAGTCAGATAACGACGATCAAACGAGAAAGGTGTTCAGAGAAGGCCTCGGAAGCCACATCAAATGCAGACTGAAAAAGAAATTGGCGACCCATAAACAATTTCATCGCAGATAGAAATTGAAGACTAGAAATTCGAGGAACGGAACTCCTCCACATGATTATCCATCGAAACCCAAGCTCGACCATTTAAGCATCCGCATAACTCCTGTTTTGCCCAAACCCAAATCAAAATGAAACCCTAAATCGGATGTGAGAGTAGAAATTACGCGATTGAAAAGGGAACCCAACTCAGAGATGGAATACGATTCGTTGAATTGTTGAAAGTCGTCGTTCTGTTCTGTCCCGATTAAACTGTACAAAAAGAAAACACTGAATTTAGCTCCGCCACCGTCCGTTGAGCTTTCTATTGACTCTATTTTTACGATTACCAGATAGTTGATAAACATCATTGTTTTTTACTTTTTTATTTTTATTTTTATATATATATATATATTATCTGTCTTTTTCCATTCTTTTTTTTAGGTGAAAGAATATACTCATCTTTTTACCTTTTAAAATTAGAATGATTTAAAACAATTATTTTTGTTCTATCTATTAATTATCTTTACCCGCCCTAATCCGATTAAATAAATATTTATTTTTTCATCTACAAAATTGTATAGGCTAGGTTCAACCTCTATTTTATGTGTTATAAGCTGACTCGAGTGAAAAAGAATCATTTGGAGATATTTTATTTATTATTTTAATTTCATAACTTATTGTAGTGGATATTTGAACTGTGACCGAGTTACTTGTCAATCATTGCTATCATTTGAAGGATAGTGGGAAGTTACCAAACTTGTTAATCATGACCTTAATTTCTTTTTAGTAGGGGATTCGAGGTTTCTTTTATTTGGAAGCTATAAATACTCACAAAATTGGCATGTAAAAAATGGATTAGGAATGAATGAAATTGAGCTCTCAAGTTTAGATTTTCACCGATATAAATTTGACCTAAGATTTTAAACCATTTATATGTAAATTGCATCAGAGTCATTCAATAAAATGGACTCAATTTAATAACTCATTATTAAGAGATTCTAGTCTTTTCTCTCGATTGATTCTAGTATTTGATTTAAACGTTCTGTTCTTGCTTTAAACTCCGATTGTTAGGCTGAGAATTAGGGTTGTATTATCTATCATGCTATAATAATGAGTTATTAAATATATTTTATTCGTATTCCGTTAATATTTTTTTCCCTTGGTTAGTAGTATATTTTATCTTAGGATTTCTTTGGTATTTTATTTTATCTTATGATTAGGATTTTGTTAGTAGTATATTTTATCGGATTTGGTTAATATTATATTTTATTTTATTTTCAAGATTTAGCTAGTTGAATATTTATTTCGTTAATAATATATTTTATCTCATTTTCAAGATTTAGTGAGTGGAATATTTTCCGTTTTAGGTATTAATGGGTAGTTTGTATCCTCTTTAAAGGTCGTGAACATTAATGAAGATTACATTTTTGATCCACCTCTCATTCTTAACATATCACTACTCCGGTTATGATTTCTTTACTTTTATTACTTCTATTAAAATAAAAAGGCTAAATTATAAAAATTAAAAAAAAAAATCTAATACGGTCGAAGTCCTACTACATATAAACGTAAAGGTGAAACTTATAGAGATAATGAAGATTTGGTTGATTCTTTTCGCCGTTCAAACTAGTTTAAGGTTTTCCATGATCGAAAATGATATTCCTTTGTTGGTCGTTTTTGTATTCGATTATTTATCGTATTTGTGGCATCTGACCGTTTGAGTCCTATCTATTGGTTGAGAAAATTGGTGTAAGAATTGAACGAATTTATAAGAAAAAATAGAGTATTTATATCGAGTCTACATCGTACAAAGTCTTCGACTACAAGGGAAACCCTCTACGAGACCTACACGATAGCTGCTTAGGTGTCGTTGACTAGTTGGATTTTAAAGTTTAAATAGCAGATATTCAGAGAAAGAACACAATCAAGCTAAAACACATCATCATAGGCAGAATATCGCTGAGACCTCAAATATGACCCAAAATCTAAAATTACACAGAAATTTTAAGACAATTATTCGTTACCACCATTTTAAATTATACTAAATATGCATCTACTATAAACCTGAAACATTAATACTGTCAACAAAGGGGCTCTAATCAGAATAAAGTAAGGTACAATAAAATATATGTCTCACAGGTTTCATCTTCAACTATATTCGACCATTCTACCATCGGTTCGAGACTTTACGAGGTTAGCTCCACAAAAAGACTGGCCTGAGGGTGCAGTCCAGCTTCTTTCAAGGATAGGGAGAGCTTCTCGGTGCCATAAACAACTCGAGGGAAGTTTGAAACCAGATTATAACCATCAGCCTCCAGACAACCCAAGGAATCGACATAGTCGTAGAGAGTTTGGATCGATGCGCTACTGTGAAACCTCCTTTCCTTGCGTTCTCCAGTAGGGAACCGCACCAACACCTGGTTGAACAAATAATTCAAGAAGATTGGTTAGGTTCTCCCTTTATCAGAGAAGAATGAAAGAGGGAAGAGGTGAGAAAACTCCATCAAGTTGAAAAATAAAATGTGTTCAATAGTTAAAAATGATGTGAGATACTCTAAATTTCCACATTGGGTATGAAAATAGCATTTGATGATGCAGACAGGAAGTGGTGTTTCCAGTAGTGGAACGCGTAAGAACCTTGCCCAGAAGGGGCCCTCCTGTTTCATACTAACTAACAAAAGCAGGTAACTAATAAAAGAAGATGTTTCGTTTTCACGAATCCAACTAATATATAGTGGCAAGATCATGACTATTTAAGCCAATTCGATTATTAGCTCAGACACTATTCCGGGGGGGTCTTTTGTTGTCTATATGCACATCACTTCTACAAAAAGAAAATAGAAAAATATAGAACACATTACTTGTGTAACATTAGGTCCTTTGTCAGGTTCAGCACCAAGTGACATTGCTTTCTCCTGCCGCATTCTGGCTAAAGCAGCCTCTCTTTCTGCAGCTTCACGAGCAGCTCTCTCACGCGCTTCTTCTTCCTCTTTCCTCTTCCTCTCAGCTTCAGCGGCTTCTCTTTCCAGACGCTCTTGCTCCTCCCTCCTTTGTCGTTCCCTGGCCTGATAAATCCGCAGCAAGAGATCAGATTAACATAAAATTTGAAGAGACAACATGAAAACTCCAGTTAGTAATACATATGGGAGGACGAGGAAACTATGAAATTTAGACAGACATGAAACCGAAATCAGAAAGTAGCATACTTGATCTGCTTCAAGGGCCGCTCTGTAAGCAGCATCTTGTTCCTCCCTCAATCGCATGTTATTTCTTCTTTCTTCTGCATCAAGCCTTGCTGAAACCAGAACAGGAGAACTTTCTTCAAGAACTCTCTGTAGAATCACTAGCATTTCTTCAGCAGTTTTTGGTCCCTCTACCTGATATAAGAGAAAAAGAGGCCAATAAAGAAAAAGAAAGTCTGATGGACAAATCAAAATAAAATGGAAAGTCTATTAAAACTGCTTATCAAATCCAAGGTTATAATGCCTTGGGAGAAGCTATGTTACCAAATGCTGAAGTTCTAAAACGTGCTGGACCAGATTAATAAACAAAATCCATAATGTCCATTGAACTGAATTGAGGTTGTCAAAAGAACATCTCCTTTCCAAGTTTACCACTAAAGAACATCCTTTTTTTCTTCTTGTCCCCTACCAAATTCAAGAATGAATCAACAGCAAGAACTCTTAATTTAGCAGTCTCACTTGTTCAGAAATTGGGCACAGAAGTAAATCGTCCTCTTAGGCCAAATATTGTTTTAATTTCATAGAATTCCCACCCAAGTTCATCCTTCTTTACTTCCAAAATTGGGTTCAAAGTTTATCCCTCCATTATTTGTTTGCAACTTTTGATACAAGACCAAGAGTTCACCTTCAAGTCCTTATCATTTATCAAGCTTCTTCCATCTGAATCAAACACCTCCAAATGAAAGTTTTGTATTCATCTGCTCCTCTAAATCATTTCCTTTGCATTCTAGTTCCAGTAGACTTCCTCTTCAACTACAATACTTTGTGGCTGCACTTCGAGCTAAACTCTAATTTTCGAATTTCATAAAGATCAATTCTTCCAACTCATCCAATCTTTTAAAGTCTTGGTCAAAATACTATTTCAATCTCTATACCTTGAGTCTTATTCCATTTTAGTCCCTATACTTTCAAATCCTTACAATAAATCTTAAAGCTAGTCTTTATATTGTTAGTTTGAAATTGAATTTTATCAAAATTGATTAAATACTAATAATTTCCATGCAAGAAAAGACACCGTGTGAATATGTTTCCAAAATTTATAGAGAGAGAGCTAATAGAGACCTTTTTTTTTAAGGAAAATTTAACAAAAAACCATCGGAAGGGACTATATCTCAGATTTATTGAAAGTAGGAGGATTAAATTTGGTCATTTAAAAGTACCAGGACTGAAATTTAATCCTAAAGGACCAAAAGGATCATTTAATCTAGTGTTTTCTATAGTTGTATAGTTGGATGAAAAAAGGTTCTCAAATTCCTCTTCTTCTCAGGATCTCTTTTTTTTTTTTTTTTTTCATTTGCTTCACCACAAACCTTTTACATGGCCATCCTTATAGATTAGTTTCTTTCCACTACTATCACAGCTTGCCCATCATTTCAAGAAAATTAGAGTGATGAAGCCATGTATTTTGAATTAAAATCACAAAACTTTTCAGCCATATAAGTCCAGAGGTGGAGATCTACAAGAACCACTTGCATATTCACCAAAAATCTATATATGAGTCAAGACAACTCTCTCAAAAGTTGGATCAAGAAAAATGAGCTGATTAAAATCCTGCATACCCTTCATGCACCGTTGCCTCATAATTTCTCCCAAGACAACATGGAAATATGAAGGCTTCCATATCCTAACAAAAAGCCACAGCCACCAAGGTCCTCCAGCTCTCCCTAGAATCATTTTTGTACACAAACCTGAATGGTTGAAAATGCCAATAAGCCAAAAACAGAAGTCCTTAACCAAGAGGAAGGGACTTTAATGGATAATCCGTAAGCTTAGAACACTTGACCAAGAGGAGGACTTAATGGACAAGGAAAAAAAACGTTCTGCGAGATCAGTCAGCAGTGTTATCTCAAAGGATTGGAATGCTACCAAAGGCAGCCCACTCCCCACTTCGGAGTTCCATTTAATACTGATTAACAGTATCCTCTGTTCCTAAGCTCTCCTTAATATTGATTAACAGTTCCATTTAATACTGATTCCAATAATGAAGTCAGGACTTTAAGGATAACATGTTCAATGAGAATCCTCTATTCCTAAGCTCCCGAATGTTCCAACAGAGAATAAGCATGGAGACCCAAAATTCTACCCTTGCTTGGGAACTTCTTCTTCTTGAGATGATTCCTGGAACAATAGATATAGTAACTCTTTGATGCCACTAATTTTCCTTTTAGACACGCTTTCCTTCCTTTTCATGGATGATTTTGAAATAATCTATCCATTAATCTTATCCACTCAATCAGCTTCTTCTGTAAAAGAGTTCCCAAGAAGGAATCCTAACGTATTTGGCAATTTCAAGCATTTTGAAGGTTAGGAAAAACTTAATTGGGAGGGGTGAGAAATTAACTTATAGAGTTCTAGAGCTATTGTGAAAAAAACTTCCACCAACACCACTCCACCCCCTTCAAATGAAGGTTGAAAAATCCTTGTTAACAACTGTTATAGTTCATGGTTTCCTCTTAATTTAAAAATAAACAAATATACACATCAGAACACAATCAAATAAGGAGTAACTGAAGCTTCAAATAACAGAATACCCAATTCAGAATTGATTGTACCCTCACAAAAATCTGCTTGACCATCACATTCATCTATATGCTTTCTAGGTGTCATTGTCATTCACGTTCAGTGTTTCCAGGAAATAGTTCAACACTCCCATTCTCCACAATTGTGCCAATGACAATAATGGCACAGACTATTGAGCAAGTTATGTTAACATGGATGAGTGCCACGTTTCATTTGCTCTTGAAAAAAGGGAAATTTTAGACAGCAATTGATTTGATCACATGCCTCTTTAAAAGATCAGTATGGTAATTAAAATACGGACAAAAACCATTCATTCACCCTTCAAAACTCATGTAGTAAAACTTCAAAGCCTTCTTTTTAAAACATCATACATTTTACTTAACTTCCTTTCAATTATAGTAAATAAGATTAAGAAGTAACGAAGAATCCACCAAATGGCAGCAAAAAATGTCCCAGGGTTTGAACTGCCATGTAGAACACAGAAAGAGGGGGAGAGAGATGAATAACGAAATAAAATTCACTCTTATTTGTTAACCAGAAATCATCCAATTTCCCAATGCTAACCAAATTTGCAGGGGCACTATTACTCAATAATATTCGATAATTAAAACACATAAGAAAATTGACGAATCAAATGAGCAGTTAGTTCCACATGGTTTCAAACACTGACCACGGACTGACAGGAGCCCATACAAGTTCAATGCACCAGACATATAAATAGACTCTCTTCAATTGTATGGCTAATAGCAATCTCAGGCATGAAAACAAATTTCCAAATGGAAAGGTCATTTAGAATGTGGATTTCAAAATCACATGCGAGAATTTAATCTGACCAAAAGATACTCAAGTAAGCTTCAATATAACATAACTATAATGTTTGAGGCTTCCATATTACAGTGTTAATATGCATACAGAAACTGGCCGGTTACTCTCCCCCTAAACATGAACAGCTTTCTCTATTGGTTCTTGGTGCCCATCCTTTAAAGAAAACAGTGGGAAATTTTTCGGTTGCCGCATGTTAGACCTTTTTGGCGCTTATGGCTAATAAGGAAGAAAAAAATCTTCAACAAGAAAGAAGCTGTCTTTGATTTTTATTTGATTTTCTCATTTTCGTGGCTCTTATTTGAGTAGATTTTATGGCCATTTTGCAACTACAACCTAAGTAATGGTCACTTGAAGATCTTTTCTTGATGTTCCTTGTTTTGGGGATTGGCATTCCACCCCTTTTAGTAATTTTATTTATTCAATGAAATATGTTTCTCAATAACATGAACTACCCGAAAACTACACATGATACTTCTAGTAATGAAAGTGAGAAGTCAGTGTTCGAAGAACAAACAGCAATAAACAAATAAAATACCTGCTGAAGCAATGCGATCCTCTGATTTGTAGCTGCCATAACCACGGCACAAAATGGGTATCTCGATGCTTTCAAGCTATTACTCATCTTAAAACCTTCACTAGCGCGAATACTCCCTCCCCACGAAACAAAATTCTCATTCACAAACGCTGCAATAGTCTCCGAACACAAGGTCCTGCCGCAGAACAATGGCGTATCCGGATGATCAGGAGAGTGCAGGTAAACAAACAAGAGCTTAAACGCATTTCTCGAACGCTGCAACGCGTCCATGAACCCTTCCCCCACAAAATTCGGCCTAGTCGTCCCAAAATCCCTCTCAAACGCCGACACAAAATCAATAGCCTCCGATGCTGCAGCAGACACAGAAACCAACCGAGCCGACGACTCAGCGTTCTGGCCAGAACCAGACCCTAACCCGATCACTCCAAGAGAATACGAAAGAATACCACCAGCAGCCCATAATCCCAAACCAACAGCACCCGAAACAAGCCCTAAACTACCAGAAATCACAGAAATCGGAAGTGTAATGATTTTCCAAGCCAAACTCGGGGCCGGAGCGGCATTTTCTTGCTGTTCCTGTCTGTCGAGGATTTGGCGCGTTGCATGGTCAAAATGATCGTCGTCGCCACCACCACCATCGACGGCGGCGGAAGCAGAGGAGTCCGAATTGGTGGAAGTAAAAGAAGAAACAGCCCGTTCAAGGTCCCAACCGTGAGCAGCAAGGATTTCAGTGCAGATTTCGGGATCTTCTAAGCCTGTAATCGCTTGGAAGTAGGCTAATTTATCAGCAACATCAACCATATCCGGCAAGGACATAAATGAATGGAAGAATTCTGGGGCTCTCTTTGGTTCGTCTCCTATCTGATTCTTCAGAGATTGATCGGACTTGAATCTTCACCCTCGCGATCAATCCACATAAATGACTCAAATGGTTTTTCAATATTTGGGAAGTAGATAGAAACTCCAGGGATCTCCAAGCGATCGAATTTTTCATGTGACGATAATGCCACTGCCGGTCTTTCAAATTACCAACTTTTGCCATTCTTTGTCGGCCGACCGGCGAGGGGTATGGTCGTCATTTTCTCACTGCCGAAACGCGTCCAAGTCAAACCATTTTGTTATTTATTTATTTTATTTATTCTCACAAAATTTCAGAATTTACTGAAAATTTAAATTTACAAAAATAATTTACCAAAATTAGAAGTTCGAATCCTAATAAATAAATAAATATATATATATATATATATATATATATAATATATATATATATATATATTTTTTTTTTTATTAACTTGAATTTACAAAACATTAAATTAAAATTCAATAATTTTCTATGTTAACTCCGATCGTAGACTGACGTTTTAGGCATCATTACTGGTGGCTAAGATTATTCGTCCTAGCTCGAGTTGGAATCATCTACGGTTCTGCCATAAACGGTAGATTTCTTAGTTTTCACCATGAGTTACTATTCTTCCAAATCATACAAAATTGGTCGATGACTAGAAGGTAAGTCTGATGGCAAAGGCGAAGGTCGTTATTTTTTTTTATAGAAGGAACTTTGGTCTATAAACCCGAGCAACAATTTGAAAGTTTAATAGATCTATTAAATATAAAACCAAATTTTATGAAATTAATATATATATATATATATATATATGAATGTATTAAAAAGAGAGATATTTTAGAAAAGATCGTGAAAGTCTCCGTTTTCTCCAATGAGGGCACAGGCAGTGCTTATTCTTTTCTGTGTGGAATGATAATCCACAACAAATCCATAGATTGAAGCTGTAAATTCTCGATTTCAATTCAATCGATTCTCTTCCTTCTTCTAAATCTCAAAGCAAAATTTGCAGACATGGAAGAGAATTAGAACGGTACTTTGTTTTATTACTTTTTCCTTTTTCCCCTTGAGCGCATCAATGTCTCTGTTGTTGATTTACTGTGATTTTGTTCTAGTGTTTCTGCTTTTTATTTGTATGTTCTTTTCGATTTCGTTTTATCCGTTCTCAAGATTTTCCATTAGCATTTGCATACTGATTTTCGAATCTCTCTTGCGGATAGCAGTTAGCCTCTTCCGAGGCGCGAGGTTCAGTTGCTGTTTTCAAGTAAAAAATTATATTGGTTTAAATCAGGTTTTTCTGTGTTATTGTTGCTGCTTCATGACGACCATTGAAGTTCTAGACAAATTCAACATAGCTTTTGGTTGGAAATTGTTGCAATTATACTGTTTCCATAGCTTAAATGAAGTGAATTTCACTGTATTGAGTTAGTCCCTTCTGTTACTGCAATTATCATTAAAATGCTGTACATGCCTTTGATTTTTCTCGGAAATTGCTGCCATATACACTGTTTGGATACATTGCTTGAAGGAAGTGAAATTCATACTATGAAATTAGTACTTTATGATACTGGGGTAGGTTTTGTTGAGGATTGTCCCACATTGGCTAATTTAATGAATGATCGTGGGTTTATAAGAAAGGAATAGTATCTCCATTGGTATGAGAGCTTATATTCTCAAAGTGGACAATATCATACCATTGTGGAGATTCGTGATTCCTAACCGGTTTCTATTGTCAAATGGCTGTAAATTACTGTCAATAGAGGTATACACTTGCTTTTATAATTTCTTACATTCATCAAAAGGGGAGACTCATCCCAGTCGGATGCGATTTTATAAGGTTGGGTTTGTTGGATTTATAAAGCAGCCAAAATCAACTTCGGTTTATCCTTACCTCTAATTGGACTATGCAATCTGTGGATAGCCACTTGCACATGCATACACACACGTATATAACAATTTGCTCAAGTTTATTTGGCATAGAATTTTTCTTCAATCTAGTTAAATCTTAATATTAGTTTTTTTTTATTCAAACAAGATGGTGGAAGTTTAAACTCTTGATCTCTAAGAGAGGTTTATGTTAGGAATCATGACTCTCCACAATAGTATGAAATTGCCCACTTTGAGCAGAAATTTTCATGGTTTTACTTTTGGTTTCCCTAAAAGGCCTCATACCAATGGAGATGTATTTTTTACTTATAAACCCATGATCAACTCCTTAACTAGTTGATGTGGGACTCCCTCCCAACAATCCTCAACAATCCTCCCTTTGAACAAAATACACTATAGAGCCTCCCCTGAGGCCTATAGAGCCCTCGGACAGCCTCCCCTTAATTGAGGCTCGACTCGTTTCTCTGGAGCCCTTGAACAAAATACACTATTTGTTCTACATTGAGTCACTTTTAAGAGCATGGCTAAGTTATGTATACATATGTGGCCATGTGAGTTAATCGTGTGTGTACACATGAAAAATCTTAATATTTGACGCAAAGAAGTTTTCTTCTGTGTAATCTTTATATTACCATACTTAATTTGTTGGTGAGGCTCAAAGTGAATGCAAAAGGAATGTATTCTCAAAAAAGATTATATACTATTGATATTTTTGTATTATCAGAATTCACTTCTATTGTTTATGAGATCAATGTCTGTATTGAAAATGACTTGATAAAGTTCCATGAACACTTGAAGACAAGATTTAAAAGGGTAGTGTGAATTGCTAATACATTCTCTGTATGCAATAAGTTCCCCAAGATTTAAAAGTAAGTTCTTGCAGACCGTTTCTTCTTTGAAATGAATGACTAATTACTCCATGTACTGATAACAACTCTGAACTTAATTCTTCTAGATCCTGCTTTATTTTATTTTATTATAAATGAAGGCTGTTAGTCTTTGTATGTGATCATGGTGCCATTGGTCAAATTGATATTTATAATAAGCTGCTGTTTTATTAAGTATCCTTTACCAAATGTATTATGGAATTGTTCAACTTGAATCTTGATGATTATGCTCAATTGTTTGTAACTCAAAAGAGATTCTATTGTTGGCTTGCACAGACAAGGAAACTGACGTATAAAATCCTATTTTCTGCACTTTTTTCAGTTTTTCTGGTTGATATTAGCCACTTGATTGTAGCTGAAAGGTTTTATAAGTTTTATAAACTGCGCATAACATGGATATTGCCCTGCTCCTTGAAGAGGGCAGAGCTGAAGCATCCAGCTACTGTGAACTTAACTGCTATAGTTGTTGCAACAAAAGAGTGGAGAGGAAATAGCACTCAATGTTCTTTAACCTATGAGACGGAAGTAAATTGCTAGTTGGTGAACTTTCTCAGAATTGTCTTCGGTTGTTTGAACCCTGTTTGAAATTCTGTTCTGATAATGTTCAACTGAGATTTCATCTCTCTGCAAAATGAGTTTTAGACACGTTGGGCTCTGCTTGATTCTCTATACATGTACTTGAGCATCATCCGGATCAGATACTATCTCTGAAGCGTATATCTGAAGCGATGTCGACACTGCCCAGTGTCAAATTTGCAGATTTGAGTCCCACAAAAGATGTTTTTGTTTCAGCTCTCCGCTTTGCTCTGTCAATTAACAGCCCATGTGTGCCATTTGGAGATGAGCTTCAAAGATCTGCTCAGGAACAAGTTGACTATATGGTAAGAGCAGATGCCGGTACGTCGTTGGTAATAACTGACGACGAAGTAAAATCCGTGTTGAGAATGGGCCTTTCTAGAACTTGTGCATCGTTTCAGACGGATCTATCTTCACTACTTTTGGAGTCTGACTTTACATCTCAAGTCATCGAAGACAAGCTATTGAGAACACTATCTGATCTTGAATGGATATGTTCTTTACTTCCAAAGATGAATTTAATGAAAGACTTCGTTTCCAACTGGATCGAGATATCTGGGAACGTACTGAAGGTCATCGAGGACGAAAAGTTAAATTCCTTAATGTGGGGTTTGAAGGTTAAGCTGATTGAGATGACCAACAAAGCCTTGGAAGCTGTTGGCTATGGGGCTGTAATTCTTCCTGCACCGTACCGGTTGTCACTGCTTCAATTCTGGCTTCCATATATTAGGAAGATGAAGCCTCTGCTCGATTCAAAGTGCGTCGCAGAGACAGATTTTCGTTACAAAATGGACGACGAGCTGTGCTTGAATATTGAGGGGGCAATTGTTTCCATGGTATTGACATTGCCTTCAAATGATCAAGCAGGTATCTTGGTAGACTGGATGAAAGCAGAGGAAATGCAGTACCCTGATTTAACTGATGCTTTTGAATTATGGTGTTATAGGACCAAATCTGCAAAGCGGAGATTGGTTGAAGGTATTGATGGAGCTTGCTCTGACAATGATGATGCTGCAATCAGCTTTTGAATTGATCGCTACGACTCTGCTGGGTGGATTCAAATGTTTGTTATTCATGTAGGACATAGCAAGTTTATATGCTCAATCTTCATATGTTCCATTAATAAAACTCCCTCTACAATTGTTAACTTTACTGTTGAGGTGACATTTAGATAAGTTGTTGTTGTTGTTTTTTTTTTTTTTTTTTTTTTTT